AATCGCGCCACTCCGATCGACAAGTCGGGGTACCCTGACATCTTTTGTGATGTATGAAACCACCTCTATGGTTTGTTCTTTTCGTTGGTAGTGTTGTTTGGGTTATGTCTTATGTTTGTTGTACATGCCTTGCCTTTTTGTTATGTAAGGTATCTTCAAGTCTTTATAGGTTCCCCTCGGTCCCTGTCCGCCCCCCATCATCGATCCCTTGACTTGCCTATCCCGTCCCTCCGTACTTGCTCCCCTCCCGTCCTCCCTCCCTCCGTCCTCCTTACCTCCGTCCGTCCTCGCCTATTCCTCCCGTAGTCCCTCCTTCCTTCAGTCATTCCTTTGCCATCCTTCCTCCCGCGTTCCCCTCCTTCCCTTCCCTCTGCCATCCCCCCCATCACACTTGCTACTTGGGGAGCGGACGTGGGACAGAGATGACAGCCCTCGGGATGGCACCTTCTGGGATGGCAGCCCTCGGCCGCAACGAGGGACACAGACGTAACATCGTCGAGCCAAGTCTGGGCGTTGTCCAGGGGATCCTATCAGCACCGCTGGGGGGTGGGCTCCCCCCACCACCGCCCCTCGGAGACGCACATCATGCCACTCGAGCGCCCGCGCTCGATATCACTTCCAGCCTCGGTCGAGGCCGTGACTTGGCGGCACTTCGCGGGGGGGGGGGGCACGCGCCCTCGCCTCATTCCCCTCATCCTCCGAGCTGGTGCATATGACATGCATATCCTCGACTGGCGATCCGTCTCAGCATCGCCTCCTCATTCCATCATCCTTCCACCGCAGGTTTTCGAAACCGATTTCGAAAACCTGCGGTGGAAGTGAGGGAGGATGATCATCTTCCTTCACCTCCTCTTCCCCCTTGCCCGTCCAACAACCCCCCCCTAAACAGGAGTCCGAACCAACGAGAAGAGAGGACACCTTTCATGATCGGCCGCCCCCGCTCGATCCGCAGTGCTCCTGTTCTCGAGGCAACGGCACTGCCTCGAGTTCAAACTTTATCATGTCGAAAACGCATCTGGGCCAACATGCCATGCCCACAGCATCGTGGCACCAGCTTCGAGCCAGCAGTGGTTCACTTCAGCAGCACCTGCTGAGAGTAGCAGCATCGACACGTGGCACGCACAATTCACGCATCTGATCCAACATGCAATGCCCACGGCATGAGGCACCATCTTCGAGCCAGCAGTGGTTCGTTGCAGCAGCACCTGCTGGGAGTAGCAGCCTCGACACGAGGCGCGCACGAAAACGCATCTGAACCAACATGCCATACACACGCCATCGGTGCCGCCATCTTCGAGCCAGCTGCGGTTCCGTTCAGCAGCACCTGCGCCGAACGTAGCAGCCTCGACACCCTCGAGGCACTCGAGGCACGCAAAGCCTCAGAAACCAGCCTAAAGATCCTCGTCCTCGAGGATCGCCTTCTTCGCGCGATCCACGGTGCCGATGACGGGGCTGATCAGCTCCCACAGCTTGGTCGCCTCGGCGCGGCCGAGGCAAACACCCGCACGCAGCTTAAACTCACCCCTCATCTTGCCACTCCTCTTCCTCCTCCTCGCGTTTCCTGCTTGGCTGATCCTCCTGATCCTCCCACTGCCGACCTATATCCTCCTGGTCCTCCTCCTGATCCTCCTCCTGATCCTCCCCCTGATCCTCTTCCTGATCCTCATCATCCTTTCCTCCTGATCCTCCTTCGCCTGATCATCATGCCTCTGATCAGCTTCCTCATTCCCTCCTCCTTCGATCGGCGATGGCGGGGCCGAGCAAGCTGGCCTCCGCGATGATAGTCTTGCTCGCATCGACGTCCGCGGTGCCCTTGCCCTGGATCATGTCCTCGATCTCCTTCTGCAGGCGCTCCAGGTCATCGGAGCACTTCTTGACGCGCGTGCTGAACGGGCTCAGCCACGGCTGCGACTTCACCTCCCCGACTGTCGTCGCCGTCACCGTCGGCAATCGCGAGCCCGTCGCCGCTGGCGGTCGTCGAGAGGGCGTGGAGAGGGGAGCCCTATCCTGGATCTCCCTTCATCCGGCCTCCACCCTCCATCCTCCCTCTCTCTATTCTCGGTCTCACTGCCCTTCTTCCCCATCCGCCTCCGCCTCTGCTTCCGCCGCCTCCTCCATCTCCTCCACAATGTCACCACCGATCGCATCCTCCATATTTCTCCTCACCCTCCAACGCTAGCTTTGGAGGGTGAGGAGAAGCTTCCACAACTGCGCTTGGCAAAGGGGGCCTCCGACCAACGACTGTCGTCGATCTTCCACCTCCTCACTCCTGCCTCGATCCTCGCGCCATCGACGCGATCGAGTCGCCCCCCTTGTCACGTCCAAGCCGCCGAGCAAGGCCTTGAGCCTGCAGCACTCCCCGAGGCGCATGCCCCACTCGTTGTTGCCCGAGGACGACGCGTGGCCAGTCGACTTCGTGTTGGCCTGGCTGCGTAGCTCCATCCATTATCCTCCCATCCTCTTTCCATCCTCCCATCTGTCCTCCTCCCATTCTTAGCGTCCGTCCTCCTCCCATCCTCCCATTCGTCACATCCATCCTCATCCCATCCTCCTCGAGTCTCCTATCCTCCCCATCCTCGCTCCTCGTTCGCGCCTTCTTCGAGGAGCGTGGCTCGGACTCCTCATCGTCCGAGTAGCTGGATCCATACTCATCGCTGGAGCTCTCGCTCTTCACGACCTCTTAAGCTCGAGGGGGGGAGGATGATCTCGAAGAGGATGAGGAGGAGGATCGAGGAGGAGAAAGATCCGAGGAGGAGGAGGATCGAGGAGGAGGAGGAGGAGGAAGAGGAGGAGGAGGAGGAGGGAGATCGAGGAGGAGGATCGAGGGGAAGAAGGGGGAGGAGGAGAAGGGGGAGGATCAGGAGGAAGCGACGGATGAGGAGAGGAGGAGGAGAGATAGGAGGGAGGAGGCAGGAGGATCAGGAGGGAGAAAGCAGGAGGAGGAGGAGGATGAGGAGGAGGAGGAGGAGGAGGACATCCCTGCCTTCTTGCCCTTCGCAGGCTTCTTCTTGCTCTCCATAAGCCCCTGCTGGTCCAACGCCTCCTCGATCTTGCACCTCTCCGTGCTGAACTGGGTCTCCAATCTCTTGCTCCGTACCTCATTGGGGGATGTAGTGTATAATATGCCGTCGTGGTCGGGACCCATCTCACCGAATGGACTCGCCGAGTCGACGCCATCGATCGATCGCGCGTTGACTCGGCGAGTCGATTCGGTGAGATGGATCTCGAGGGTCCGATCCTCCATCCTCTACCTCCCCGAATGGACTCGCCGAGTCGACGCCATCGATCGATCGAGCGTTGACTCGGCGAGTCGATTCGGTGAGATGGATCCCGAGGGTCCGATCCTCCATCCTGAAGTCCTGCCCTCCCTAGCTCCAAGAGGGCACATCATTGTCAATCACACTCTTCTCCACGCGCTTGTAGGTCGGTTCGCCCGTCTGCTCGTCCACCTTTCTCGGATCAAGCAGCGGGATTGTTCAAACAGTGCGAGGCCCTTCATCCAGGGGACACAGGAAGCGTCGACGTCGTCGACATTCCTGCGCCCCTGAACGCTGTGACCTCGCACCGATATACAGGGGATCCGATGCGAACTCGAGCCCCCCCCCCACCGACATGCGCGTCGACCGCATGGACTCGCAGCGGCGCTGCACGGCTTGCGCTCGAGCGAACGCCCTGCAGAGGAATGAGGCGAGGATGGGAGCAGGAAAAGGTGGAGGAGGAAGGATGTGACCTCTTCCCGAACTCCGTATCCTTGTTCTCGGGCGACCACTTGAAGTGCGCCAGCAGCCCGTCGAACGTCAAGAACGGGCACGCGTCACGGTGCTCGTTGGCCTGCTCGCGAGCCTCCGTCTTGTAGGACACCGCCCACGTGAAGTCGCCCGTCTCGAGCCAGTTCGCGAGAAACTGGCGCTTCCCAGCCCTGGACTTCCTCTTGAACTCATCCCTGATCTCCTTCTTCTCGGTGGACAACGCGT